GAGAAAGTTATAGACTGCGAGGATATCTCCAGGCTCAACAAACCAAGTGACTTCAGCCTGTCCTCATATGCCTTCCTCTCTAAACCCTTCACCAATTTAGTGTCCCTCCTCTGGACACTCTCCAGTAGCTTTATATCCTTTTTGTACTGTGGCGCCCAAAACTGTACACAGTACTCGAGATGAGGCCGCACCAGCGCAGGGTAGAGCAGGACAATCACCTCCCTCAACCAGCTCACAATGCAGTGCTTGATGCACCCCAGGACACAGTTGGGCCCTCTTGGGTTGCCTCATGTTCAACTTGCCATCAACCAGAACCCCCAGGTTCCTCTCTGCAGGGCTGCACTTCAGCACGTCTTAATAATCCCTGTGGTCTTTATGAAGTGTTTACATGCATACAGTGCACTGTAAAGCACTTGAAGGATGGAAAGATGGATTTGCACATGGCTCAGAGCCCAGTGATTCACATGGTCCTCGAACGCCCTTATGTTGCTCAGGAAATTACCAAGTCTTAAGACTCAACTCTGAATTCCTAACAGATTCTAGATTCCACATCCATTTCTGGAGTGCCAAACACTGCTGAAAGTCTGCTCAGTCAATCTATGTGCTTTGTGTTGGGTTTGGGAGGTGGGGGAAGAGGAGGGGGGTCGCTTTTGGTAGTGGGGGAAGGGGCTATAGTGATGGTGGCCCCTGTGAGAAGCTTTGAGAAGCTCCCCCGGCTCCAAGGCAGGTCTGCCTCCAGACCAGGTTGAGCCAATTAGCAATAGGGAAATGCCTCTTCAAATCCATATTTATGTGGGGGAGAACTGGCTTGGCAAGGAAGGAGAGAGCCAGCAGGAAACCATTGAGATGAAAAAAAAAGACATTAACAACAAGAGGAGGAGGGAAGGAAACGGAGAACTTCAGACACCCAGGTCAGCAAGGAGTGAGAGAAGGTAAACGGAGTACCCTGCACCCCATGGAGGTTCAATGGCAGAGCAGTTACCCATGTGTAGGCCGTGAAGGACTCCATGCATGCCCATGACCATAATAGGTGAGTGAACCCTCCCTGTCCTCATTTCAACCCACGACCCATTTGTTGTATTTCTTTCCCCATCTCACTGGGTGGGGGGCAGTGATTTCAGGACTGCCTGGTCTTAGCTGAGGCTGAAACCACTTCACTCGTACATAGCTGAACACTTTCAAACCTGCCCCTATATTGTTGCATATATCTCTGCCCACTTTTGCAGGGGTTGATTTGGGTTTTTTTCTTTCTGTGTAGGAAGATTGAGATAGATGCCCACTCTCTTACCCATGTTGGTCTCTTGCCTTCCACCAGTGAGGGTCATACTGTTCGAGGATAATGTATTCTTCTGACTTCTTCAGCGATAAATCTGAGGGTCCTCTAGCAAAAAAGTCATAGAGTGCAATAACTCTGGGTTTTTTTGTGTAGTCTTCCAAGGCTTCAGCAGGTAGAGGAGGTAACAGCTTGTTCTTTAACTGCAATTGCCTCTTACGCTGGTGAAAAAAAAGTATCTTTCATAGTTAGTCTTTTCTCCCTGCTATTGCTTGCTTAATTCCCTCTCTATTATACCATCTCAGTAACTAAAAGGAACCAATCATGGTCATTGCTTCCCCTTGTAAGCACATCCGTTGTAAAGCAGTGAGACTTAAATTTGAGTAGTTTGGTGCAGAACCAAAAATGATAAGTACAGTGAATAACAAACAAGCCATCTACCTAATCGAGGTGACTTTACATGGTATGAATGCTGGAACAGTTTTCCAGCTAGTGTAAAAGCAGAGCAGCACTGAAATTAGTGGATTTATAATGTCTGGAAATCCAGTCATTTTTCTGGAGAATTAACATGGAGGGCACTGCAGACTTTGTTAGTAAATTGGCAGGAGCATAATAATTTTCTTTTGCATCAAGTTAGGTTATAGTTTGCACTTGGTTATTTTGAAATTATCTGCACTTTGAAAGCTCAGATCATTCTACTTAGATCTAGTAAAATTGAGGTGGATGCTTCACGTGCCAGCTGAGCAAGGCAAGCTCGCATCTGCCCACAGGGCAGTCCCACCCTTCCCACCTCCATCACCCAAACCCAGAAGTGGGAGAAAAAAACACTTTGTGCATGACAGAGAGCTTGGGAATCCTCACTATGACCCTGTATTTACATCAGTATGAACCTTTGGATACCTTTACTCTCTAATTTTTATGCAATGAAGCACCTTACGTGCTCAAGTTAGTTACTCCTCTGCTTGTTCTGGTACTGAGCCACCACATGGCACATCACCTCGATTCTCTCTTTTCACCTGCCAACACGTTACTTACCCTGCACTTCGAAGTAGATGCATAGGAAATGTCTGGTTGTGAGGCTGAGTACTGGGTCACCAGGCCAGTATCAGGGTCCAGGTTCATTTTTGTTCTCATTGCTCTGATTTTGAAAAACATGAAATATTTGTGTAAATATGTATCTATAAATATTCACATAAAAATATTAACTCATGAATACGTATGCCTTCCCTGGGTATTGGGGATATGCAAGGTAGAACTTTTCTAAACTTCTGTACAATTATCATTTCTGCTGAAAATAGCAAGATTTTTAGAAGTCCTTTCTGTGTAGATATGTCAATCATCATAACTGCTGAAAAGCTTAAGCATTTCACATACCTTTTTTGCACTGTGCAGCAGCAGCAGCAGCAGCAGAAAACAGACTGGATGGTGTGATCTGTGAAAAAGAACATTTCCCATATTTGCAGTATTCCTGTTTGTTTGTTCACAAAACTTACAGAATTAAGGACTACCCTATGTTCTTAGCCCCATTATTAATTCTGTCTTGCTATGAGATATCTAGCAAATCATTAAGGCTGAATTTGCATCTACCAAAAACAGCAGACCTTTCCTGACACCACTTCTAATTGCTCCCACTCTCTCCCTTACAATGTCTTAACAATTATAAGACCATGTGATGAGTTAAATCAGCTCACTAAATCAGAAAGAAAAAAAGAGTTTGTCAGCCAAATCAGTACCATTCTGATTGATCACACCACCCCGTGCAAGCTTTAACCAGTGCAATAAAGGGGACGAGAACATCATCAGGGACAGGAGATGAAGAACTGTCCCCTTCAGCAGTGACATAATTTTTAGATTATTCAGGTCAAATACAAAACCACAGTTGCAGGAGAAGCTTTTTCTTATTGGGAGGTTTATTAAAGAACATGCTACGTTCAATTCTTTGAATTAATACCGATTTTCCTGTTTCCGTTGCAGTCATTAATATAATATATGCCTTAGTAAGGTTTAAATTCTACCAAAGATGTGCTTTACACTCACTTACCAAGTGGTTGATAATCCTGAGACAAATACATGGAACACATACATCACGCATTTACAGAGAAATCCCTCTAGTATATCTTGGACTAGCAGCAGAGAGGATATGTTATTAAATAGATTGGAACACGTTAAGAAGATTTGAATGAGGTAAACAGTTGACATCTGCTCTGGTCCACTTCTACTTAGGCTGAGACCTATTCTCCCCAGCTTGTTTCCCATGGCAGTTTAAGCCAAGCTGCGGCAGCTATGGCCCCAACCCCTTTCGCTCCGCACTGCTGCTCATCTCATCCGCAACAGAGCGAGACGGGATGCTAAACCAGTGGGGAATTGCTCTCTGCTGGGTTGGCTTCCTGCACCATCCCACTGTTGTGCATCACCACTGGGCAAGTGAGAGGGTGGCAGCACCAGCAAGCCAGGCTCAGGCTCTGGAGTATGATGCATAATCTCTTAGGAAGCACGAGAGCCAGGCATACAGAGACAAGGCTCCAGTCATATTCAACAGCACTGGCAGAAAATGAACTTTATATCCCACTCCAATGAGCCTCAGAAAGTTATTTGAAATAGAATATCCAAGGTCTCAGTATTTTGTTGTTTTTTCTTTCACAGGATACTTCTTTCTCCCACCAGTGTCTTCCACTTTATTTGTTTTTCTCTCATGGCATTTTTGGCTTGTTGATCCTAATGACTTAATCCAGCCTGGAATAAATAGGATGTCCCTTCTGGTGCTCTGTAAGACTTTTTGGCAATGCCTGTTACCAAGGTTTCGGCCAAGTTTGCTGAGAGTATGCATCCTAGCACTCAAAACATTAATCAGCCTTACTACACAATAAAAATGTGATTATTTCCTCTATGAAGGCACTTAATTTAGCAAATCTTGCACTAATAAAAGAAGGGACAATGAGAAAGACAAGGCCAAAACTAGTTCTTAGCTGGAAGAGGAAGAGACCTGTCTCATATGTGTTTGGTTAGAGTATTTATCTTGAAACTCATGGGGCAATTTCCCTTAGACTGTTGCATCCTGTGAAGAACCTACCGTGTGGGAAGCTGGCAGCCTACATTAATCAGAAGACACTATCAAGTCTTTGATAAAAATTTCCACTGACGGCTGTGCAAAATGCAGCGATTACAAATACCAAAGCCAGCTGACACCGACAGATTTCTTTAAAGAAACCAGCTGAAAAGATAAGGGCAATGCAATTTGCTGCATAATTTTCCAGTGTACATTAAACTGTTCCTCAGCTGTTTCAAACTGATTTACTACAGAGCTGAGATTATTAATGTTCTAGGTAAGAACAAGCTTGGAACGAAAATAACTTTAAAAAAATTATTTCTGGTTTATTACCATTGCTTTTTTTTCCCATAAAACCCCATAAATTCAAGAGTAAAATATTGTCACAGTGTTAAGTAGTGAATGTCTCCAAAGCAGTATTAATTAGTGCCTTGGAAGCATATTTGGGCAGGAACAACCCCAGGTTCCAATA